TGGCAGCAGAAACTGGGCAAATTAAACCAGAGTTTATCTGCTAGAGCAGGGATATTAAAAAATCTCAGGTCCAGATAGAGAAAGTTTCAACAATAGTCTAAATTAAGTTTCCCCTTTTTCTTCTTTTTGTTAACTCAACAAGTCTCAACCCTTTGTCTAACAATTTCTAACACATCTGAACAACTGAACAGCTTTAACACCTGCTTTTCCTTTCTTTTTCTCTTGAATCCCACCACCACTCTTCAGTGGCAGAAGTGAGCTCTAGTTTGTCCTGCCAGGATTTTAAATCTGGGCTGGAGTGGTGCAGTGTTGCTTCAGATTGCTGCTTTTAACAATCACCACAGTCTTCAAACATGTGAAGAATGAACACGTAAGAGTCTCTTTAGATTAAAAACTCAATTTGCACTGTCTTCTTTATCTATTAAGTGCACACCCATATGAAGTCACTTTTCTTGAATTTCTCTGACTCATTTTTTACTGTCTCGTGACCCCTGGGCTAGAAGTACGTGAGAAACTGTGTTTTAGAATTTTATATTAGATTCACATTATATGCAATGGATGATAAGAGATGGTAAAGTTCCTTTAACTTGAAAGTGCTGATGTCAAATGAAAACTTAAAAGATGAAGACTATTTGCGCTATACTGTAGCTTTATATCTCTCTCTGTATTATTAAGTGAAATGTATCAGAGATTTCAGAGGAATTCTAAGTATTTATGACGCTTGATGTTGACATGAAGACAATTTATCAAGCAGAACCTAGAATTGACAGTAATTAGCATCCTGGTGTGTGTGTATATTCTCTTTGCCTCTCTTCTATATTAGCAGATTAATATACCCTGTGAGCAGCTTTGCAATTGGAGCAGAAGTCAGTTTTTGTTGTTTGTATCTTTGTATTTGTCTGCAGAAGGAAACATGAATAAATAACCTTGTGTGTGTGTGTGTGTGTGCATCCATAATGAATGTTGTGTGGCTGAATTATGATAATAAATCTGGTTATGCTGTCTGTATTCTTCAAAGCAGCTGACACAGATTTTTGAGTCATTTCTAATGAGACTGCAGGAAGCTGCTTGAATTGGCTGTAATACAAAGATGCAGGGAAACAGGTCTGCTTTAATATGAAAACACAAAAGGACAATAAAGTCCTGCTCACATGGGTTTCCATCTCTACTTGAACCATCTCTCACTGCTCTTCTCTCCATTATTCTCAGGTAACAGCGTCTGAATGCACAGTACTTGCAACTTTATTCCTTCCCCCTCGACTTAAAGATGTAATACGTGACATACCTTAATTAATATATCAAATAATGACTTTACCTAAATGTATCAGAGGCAAACCATCGTTCAAGCGAGGCACTAAAAAAACATTTGCTTCGTGCTGCAAATCCACGATGTGGCTTCATGTGGAGTGAAACTTTAGTGAACTTTTACCTGGGAAATTTGTCTGCGTTCACTTATGTGTGATTGTGACCTAACCTGACTCTTTATACATCAACACACAGTCTGCGCCTCTTAATGTACATACACTCACAGCATTCTGTAACTGTTGTGTTGCCCTGGTTCTCCTCCTCGTCTTTCCACGCTGACATGAGCAAGCGCCACTAAAAGTCTGGTTTATATGTTGCTCCCTCTGTCCTTTGACAATATTTCCTCGTCCTGCTTACACTGGATGTGAAGACACTGCCTTTTGTCTTCACGGAGCGACTCCCTGCTGGCACGGTGCCTAGAACAACTCTCTAATCTAATAAACGGCATAATCAGGCCACTACTTCTGCCCGGGCGTGTCAACATGAGTGTGAGCCCCAGGGGTAGAGTGCATCAGAGGTTTGTGGCTTTAATGGTGGCCAGCTTGTATACGGATTGTTCTCGCTGTATGTTGACCATGTGTTATATATTAAGGCTGTGTGGATGTATGTTTGTGTGTCTAGCTCAAAGCATGTGCTGTGTGTGGAGTCCAAGACTAGGCTGAGTCAAGACTGCAGCGATAAAGGCCTCTCTAAGCCCCCTTGTGGCCCAGCAGGAGCTTCAGATCTGTGTGGGAGTTGGAGGTTTGAGGTGCACCGCTCCGTCTTCTCTCCTCCTGACCACTCAAAGTAAAACCAGACCAAAGCCCTCCTCTCACTGCAGGGGATGCAGCATCTCTCCATGGAGTCTGAAAACACTACGGGTGATCTGGGAGCTTATTCTGATTCCCCGCTTGTCCTCCTCCTCCACCGCCTCCTGCTGCTGCTGCTGCCTCTTTTCTCTCTGCTTCTAATAGTCGGCAGTTCCTCAAATGCACCTCATTTCCACACCAAACTTTTATTTATTAATAGCAGTTTTGTTCCAAAATGAGACACCAAGTAAACAACATATTGTGTATCTCATCTCTACGCCCAACTGTCAAAGCAGTTGAACACATTAAACACTTAATTGTTTTGTACGGAATATTTTTAAGGTTGTCTGACGAAGAGAGCATAATACAATACATTTTTAGTAGAATTAAATATAGTTTGAGTGGGTTTAGATAGTATTAGCGAGATCACAGTGGCTCTCTATTCTTCTCACTTACATTCGTGCCAGTTGCCGCACCATCTCTTGTTGAAGTCTGTCCTTTCTGACATTCATCTCAAGAACCGGTTTCTCTCTGACTGCCCATTTACTTCGCATCTCCTCCCTACCTCTCCCTCTGTGCCGACACATCACCTGCTTTGACATTGTACTTGCAAGAATTGGCTTGTTTCCATCAAATATTGATAAAATAACAGTAGTTTAATTTTATCGGTTGCATTTGGTAAATTAATTTTATGGCCCATGCAAAATCTTGAAAATCTTGAAATCTAATTTTATATTTTGAATGCATGAAAAACCTACATCTCCTTGAAGATAGGGTTCTTTTTTGGACATTTGGAAGACACCATCTCTTTTATTACATATATAAAAAACTTTGGTGGAACATAAATTGATGTTTCACATTTGGGAAAATAAATTGAAACATCCAAGAACATGGGATGAATTTCAGGCACCTTTTCTTCTATATCTTGAAACGAGGTTTATGCGGTTGACATGTCTGTGTCTTTGTCAGTGGATGTTTCACACAGCAGACATTTCCACTTGTAGTTGGAGAAGCTCTGCTGTCACTAATAACATTAGTGTTCCAGTAAGAAATGACAGTGACAGTGAGCCAGCACGCACAGTACTAGAGCCTGAAACTGGGATGGCTAAATAGTTTTCAGCCATCATTCATTTTATTGTTAATTATATTTGTTGTTACTGCTTTTTCTTCTGTGTTAAATGTTGTCTTTAGTATTAGGAAGATGTAGTTTTTAGAGGTGGCCAGTTATATTGGTTGGCTGATATGAGTCTTTTACAAACATATTGGTATCTACAATCATATTTTTTGATCTGTGCCATTATGAAACATTTTATTTAACAAATTAAACAATGCATAATAGTTGTTTATATTTAACTGTAATTTGCAGTTATTTTTAATAAAGTTAAACTCTAAAATATCAAGTCTCATTTACATTTTTGTCATAAGGGGTTGAAAATTACATCTTGGAAATTATTGCCTAGTCATTTTTCACATGATATTAATATGAAATGTTTTACCCCCTAATATTGGAATCTGCATCAAACCCCAAAACATTGGTCAGCAGTTTTGTTGCTTTGTGGTTATTTGGACTCTAGTGGAATTTGCTTGAGTGTGTGTCTGTATTTGCAGAACTGACTTATACGCTAAGAAACTACAACATTCAGTTCCTCCACTGAGCCTCAGCAGAGCACAGGGACATGCTATTCCCTCTGTCAATGGACAGTAATGTCACCAACACAGACATTAGCATGAGATATCAAATATCTAAAATTAAATTCAATCAAACTTTAAACTTAATTTAATAGCAACTTTCATACAGGTTAATGAAGTTAAAAGTGCTTTACAATTGACTGATATGCAACAGGACAGAAGTACAGGAAGCATATTAATCTCACTCAACACCTTTAAAATGAAAGAACTGGAGGCAGATTCTATGAGATGCTACTGTTTTTAACTTATCTGGTGTGTTACACAATGTTTTTTCACTTACTATATGTGTGCTGCTGCCTATCTTGGAAAGGTCTCTGTCCAAGTTATTTTAAATCTCAAAGGGACTTTCCTGGTTAAATAAAGGCTAAAAATGCAATCGTACTTAAAATGCACATAGATTGATATTATGTCATACATAAAAGTCTTTCCCTGCTTTTGGGACAGGAGAGGATGAAAACTTTACTCCCTCGCCACAGCGCTGATGAGCAAATGGGGCTCATGGGCTGCTAATGGTGAATTTAATTAGTTTGACATGGGCTAGATGAATGAGATGAGGCCACATGAGATCCCTGCTAATGTAGTGCAATGACTGATATGTGATTAGAAATGAGAATATATATATTTTAGAATGAATCATTGGCTTGATGCCGAAAAGTTTGAGAAGGGTTAGGTGAGTTGTGACATGACACGCACAGTTGGAATACAATAAAATAGGTATAATGTGACAAATGTTGTTTAATCTTTCTTTATATGTCTAGACCTATGTTATATAGTTTGTTGACTTGTGACACTTGCATGATCTTAAATGTTTCCACCAATGTTCAAACCCAGAGAAATCCCCAGTTTAAGTCAAGGTAATAGGATGTTTAATTTTGGTTGTTTTGTTATTGTTTTGATTGAGAGACCCCGAAGTTTAATATTATGTCTATTTAACTGATGATTCCATGATTAACGTGTGGTTTTGTGAAATGAAAAATGCTTTCTGTGACATTAGTAAAGCTCAAACACACTACCCCACTTGAAACGACGTGTTGGGGTTTTGTTTTTAAAGCACTGTTGTCATGCATCGCCATAAATGACTGAATTGCATCAAACCATGATTTAAACCTTCAGTTACATCATGGTTTGACGCAATTCAGTTATGACCAATGTTGTAATGCAAACGTGTCGAATTAATTCATTATTTTATCTTTAACTCCACGTTATGTGTTTTTCTAGGGAAAGGAGACGACAGAGGAGGAGGATGAAGTCACTGTGGGAATGGAGAAAGGCTTTATGGACGAATTCTTTGAACAGGTTGGTTAATCTCACAGTCCTTTCATTCACTCACTCTCTCTCTCTCCAATCTCGCCTCTTGTGCATTATAGACACTCAGGTGGAGGTGGGGGGACTTTGCGCCATTTACAGCCTGTGATGAAATTTTATCCGACCCGAGAAACAATTACAAAGAATTCAGGAACGCAAAAAATTAATGACTCCAATTCATGTCAACATGTCAAGTGTCTTTAGAAGCCATGCATGGCAGAACCAAAGATGAGGCCTTGTTTGAGCAAGTTTATATGGCTGAAACCAGCTGTGATCCTCATCACTACCATCTGACATCAGACACCTCGCCAAATGGAAGTAGTTCTTGACTTCACATCAGAGTAGCTAGTGTAATATGTGTTAAGTTATTTAGTGTTGCCTGCAAAGTATGGTTTATATACATTGATCTGTTCTATATGCATGCATGATTGCATCTATATGCATTTATTCAGGAGTGTGTTGTCCTGTACTTGCTTGTGCTGAACACAAACTGAACATCGTCATAGCTCTCAGACGGGGGGGCATTTTCAGTGTAGTGGCAGTTGATGTCTCCTCCCCAGAGAGATGGACACCTGCTGTGTATCATCAGCCATATGGAGCCGGGCTGACTATGTGACGTCATTCTCAGTGAGTAAAGTGGCCTCTGTAATGCTTTTTTATTAGGCCTGCTACATTCATCTCCCACAGCAAGTGGTTTAGTAAAAAGTAAAAAGCAGGATAATTCAACGTAGAAGAGGGCTGAGGTAAACCTATTTATTGTAATCCATATTAATCAACGTCTATGTAGTCTATCAACCTATATCACTGCTATATCACTTATATTTATCAGCTATTCCCTTATTTTTGTAAGCCTGTTAATATCAGTTAATGTACACAGAGTCTTTAACTTTGAAGTATTTAAATCACAGTCACAAATGGAACAAAAAGGTTGGTGGTGTGAGGTTGAATACCATTTGCGAGTTATTAAAAGAGGTCTGACGATCCACACTTTGATATGTGGGTCGTCAAAGCAACACGAGACAACAAATACATCATCAAAGTGGCTAAATCATCTGTGACACAGCTGCAGGTGCATCAATCAATGAAACCCTGTAAAGATATTTATTAGATCAAGGGAAACCTTTAACAATCACGACAACATGTGGAAAATACAGACAGACATCCACAAGAAGCAGTCATCTCATATTGTAAATGAGCAGACGTATGATGGAAATACTGAGTATAATATATATGGGGGAAGTTAAGTTAGATGCTAGCTCCAAGCTTTGGCACCTGTGCAAAGACTTTGTTTTGTTTTGCCATTGGCTACAGCCCTCAGTAGTCTGTGTTCTGGAGATGAATAAAAGCAGACGAAAAACAGCTATTTCATCGTAGCTTCATTTCACTGGACTCACTCATATGCGTTGGCTAGTGCCTAAAGATGGGCGTTTCTTGTTGCTGCATGGTGGGATTGTCATAATAACAGTTTCATGCTTGGGATACACAATGTAGCTAACTTCCGTGCTATCGTGCCATGCCTGCTATCAGTACATTGCTAAAGAGAAGTGCACAGGAAATAAAATATACAACCAGATTAACATACACCAGGTTCACCAGCTGCCTCCTCTTTCGCATTAATGTGATTTGATTGGCCAGTGCTTGAGTGTTTGTTAAACACGATTTGATTGGCTGGAGCATCTGTTGCCACATGAGAGTTTGAGCTCTGTTCAATCCAGTGAAGCCGTGTTTCATTTTAAGCCTTAAAGGCAGGTATGAGTCCAGCGTACGGCCACAGTCACACAAGCATGAATGCAGGAGAATGATGATTACCGAAAGATGGGGCCTTGAATGTGGGCACTGCAGGATGTGACGGACACAGTAATCAACTTCAGGATGTGGTCTGGCTTTGTTAGCGAGGAGAAGGAAACAGGTAGCGGGCAGAAGGAGGATGTGCAAGTGAAAGCCAAGTTGGGTCAAACACAAATTCGGCATTGGATTAGGCTGTTGTTTTAGCTTCAAGGGAACACATCTCTCTCACATTTGTCTATCTGTTGTATACTGCCTCTCGCCTCTGACAAACTGTCTGTATCCATCATAGATATCAAGGCATCTCTATATCTGTGTGGAATTTCAGGTTGTTACATCTGTCTCAAGTGAGAGAATGAAGAAGAGATTTTGAGTGAAATTCAGAGACAGGAAGACGGAGAGAGAACAGTCTGAGACCGAGTTAGAAGCCGCAGGGATCATGAAAGAGGCAGGGTTTGAAATGAGAGTGATTTGGGAGAAGTTAGACACTGAGACCAGAGAGAAGGAACGGGTAATAACATGTAATGGAGAGATGTTGATGGGAGAAGATTAAGGGGGCAGAGGGAGTGATGGAGTAATCAGCCTCTAACCCCGACTGGATCCGTTAATTAGGCTTTGGTGATCTGGAGGGAGCGCAGACAGTGAAGAGACGGCTGCGGCCCTCTGTCCTCCACCACAGACATGACTCTGAGTGTGGCTATTGATTTTATAATGTGTTTGCTGTGGCATTTGTGTGAGCTTGTATGTAGCTGGGTCTGTCTCTGGTATTTAAGTGTCATGTACTACACAGTGCCTGTCATCGATCTTTGTGGGTTAGTGTAATTGCTTCTATACCTTCATATTATTATATACTTATTGTCTACATGAAGTATTTTTTCACTTGGTTTATTTGGTGTTCACATGTCACATGTTTGTTTTTAAATGTTTGTCCTAGTAAAGGAGAATGTTTGCAACAGACATGTTCATGACAAAAGGAAAATGTCCAGAACCTTTAAGCGTGGTGTCTAAGTAGAACATGCAGGAAGCATATACTGTACATTGTGGCGGAAATCCTGTGTTTTTGTTCTATATCATAATACAAGATGGTGCATATCCCTTGTTGTGTATTTGAAACGTCATCAACATGTCTACTTCCTTGGAGACATTATCCTGCTGTGTGGCCTCATTTCACGAAGACGCTGGCAGGAATTTTTTAGTAACGTCAGGAGTTTGGTGCATCTCTGAAAGCAGCTATCGTCAGAAGATCCCATGAGGAAAAAAACAAAAACAATAAATGTATCCTTTTAACAAAGCATTAACTTTTCAGTCTGTCACTTCCCGCTTGGCTCTTTGCCGCTCCCAACTCGTGTCTGTTTGTCTGAGTGGAAGCAGGTGCACTGGAGTCAGAGCTGCCCCACATCAGCTGCACCCCATCACTGTAATGAAGTCCTTTACAAATACCCAGCTCTGCCTCTACCTCCCTGCCCGATCAAAGCCTCTGCTTCAGTCAGTCTGTGACCAGAATGGATTACTTTTCTTTTTTTAATTTTTGCATCTGTTGCATGTTATAATCGTTAACAACTTGCGGTTAATCCAGCGGGGATCCCCTGCTGTGTTCACACATCAACTTCCCCTGGATTTCTTCAGACAGAGGCCAGGCGGATATAGTCCGTAGAAACAGCATATGTCTCAGTCGGACATTTGCGTTCACACATGCATCTCCTCGGGAGAAAATATGGAGGAACTGTGGAGTCCAGTGCATGTCTGAAAGCAGATTTAGTCTCCGCACGGGTTAAGAAATTCAGGAGCCCAATTTAACAATACGATCTGGCTATACTATAACAGACAGAAACATTCTCAGACAAACCCTCACCAGCCATGGTGCCATGTTCAGCCAACACAAACTTCTTTCATGTTTACCACCCTGATTCCTAAAGGAGCGTCAACTCTGTTGCCCTCCACTGCCAGTTCTAAGCTGCTGCTGCTGCTGCTGCCGCTGCCGCCAATTCCCAGTCTGATCCTATCTCTTCCAGCATCATCATCGCCTTTACTTTGGGAGATTGAGTCCAGCGTCCGCCAAGCTCAGCAGAACCAGCCTGACAAAGAACCACTAATTCCTTTTTGATTGCTTTTAATGTTGTCACTGTGTTGTTTTTAATCTCCCTCTACAGTACCTTGAATCTACATCTATGTATGAAGTGTGCTTTATAAATAAAACTTAATTGCCTTGCCCTGTTCATTTGGGAATTTGTCCACTCCCATGTTCTTTAATTGGTCCACTAAATGAACAAAATGATGACATTTTCAAAATATTGAACGTTTTCTGCTGCAGACCTAAATAATATTGTGAAGCCCTACAAATGGTAGCTGCAATAAACTCTGCCATAGCAGGTTCCGTCTGTTTACCCTAAATGTAGATTATTCTTTTGAAAATACATTAAATTCATCATTATTATCTATATTTTAAATTACGATCATTCTAGAAATGCAATGTTCTTTTATTCAAAATTTTAAACTGTGAACAGTGTACATAAAGCTTGTGGTTCATTAGTAATGATTATAACAAATGAGGTAATTTTAAAATCATTTGAAAAAGCTATAAATCATTTAAGAGACATTAACTCTGAAGCAAACAGTCACATTATGAGATGCATATAAGCACCATTTGCATCTCTGTTTTGCTTTGTGTAGTAATGAGGCTCATATCATGCCCCCAAACTCCTTCACCTGATGATGCAAGAATGAAGTGAGCGAAAGCAAGGCAGACTCACTGTGGCCTCGAGCTTCTGATCATCTTTTCTTCTAGATGAAAATTATTCTTTTACACCAACATAACTAAAATGAAATAACAGCTGCAGCTGTGGGATTTGGTTGCAACAGTGTATTTGTACCAGATACAGACTCCTGAATAATGTCATGGTGTCTACAAGCAACTCAAGTTAATAATGAAACCTTGTAAAATTGATAAGGTGGTCCTGAAGTGCATGTGTCTGATTATTTGTTTTGCATGTATGTTTTTCCAGCTGTCTGATATTGTTTTTTCTCCCACACCAATAAAATGTGCCTGTTGTCTGATGGGAGCTGAGAGACATACGATGACTCACTAACACACGGCGTCCAAACCCAGAAAACTTGTGGTTTAATCCTCTTTTCACTTTACTTCTCTTTCTCTTCCTTCCTGGATCAATCTCTTACTTTTTAACTATATGAGCTCTCTCCATATGCATGTGTTACACTTTTTTAACTCTGCTCACCTCAGTGGGCCCCCTGTAAAGCCTGGTCTCTCTCCAGAGGTCGCGCTGAGCCAATTATGTTGTTATTTAAAATAAGCCGTTCCAATCAGCAGCTAATTAGAGAAATAATGGGAGAATAATGACCTAGGTTGAGAGGAGGAGGGACTCTTGTGAAGGTATGAATGGAGGAGCAGAGCAGAGCTGTGAGGACAGCAGAGGAAACTTGGACTGCAAATGGAGAAGTCAAACCAGGGATCTGCATGAGGAAATGACCTGGGATAGAGACGAACGATTGGAGTACAGGCTGGGCTGTATCGAAGCAGGTGTAGAGGCGGTGAAAGTGATCAGGGGTGGTTGACAGATTGAGAAGGAAGTAGAGATTGATGAAGTTGACAGATGTGACCTACTGCCCATCCAGCTGTTACCTGAATCAGAGGCAGCACAGCTGGATGAGGGAGGGTGCTGGGTAGAATGTCAGACCTGGAACTGGGTAGCAGATGAGTACAGAGTTCAAAGAAGGATATGTATGATATGCACCTCCATGCATTTAATCATGTGGGTAAAGGAACAGTTCAATGTTTTACTTTATTCGCGTACTTGCAGAGAAGCTATAGTCAGCAGACGATTAGTTTGACTTTGGATAAATTGCGAAAACGGGGGGAAACAGCTACTCTGGCTCTGTCCAAAGGTGATAAAATCCACCTCTTAGCACTTCTGAAGTGTGTTTAATCAATGCGAGAACAGGACAGTTTTTGTAAAATCTGGGTACAGCTAAGTTAGCTGTTTTTCCTCTGGCTGTAGCCTTATGATTAGGAGATATGAGAGTGGCATTGATCTAACTTTTGGAGATAAAGCCTCTAAATATGGTCGTATTAAGCTATTCCTTGAAGCCTGTGTGTGTCAGATAGTGAGAATAAGTTAAAAAAAAAAAAAATGAAACAAACTTTTCTTACTTTATACATCACACAAGTATAATTTATTTTATCATCATCTGCAGATTATGGTTGATTATCCAGACTCTTTAAATAGGCATCGATGGATCCAGATCTTTTTTTACATGAAAACACACAGGTTTCATCTCATATTACAAGGAACTAAAAAGCACACAATCATATTTTGAACAGCTGTGAACTTAAAGGTTCTTATCTGTATTAATGTGAAGATTCCTCCGTGCACATAGCAAAGTCCTTAAAGAAATAATTTTCGATGAAATGTATTATCATCGCCAGGTATCATCACCTAATATTGAGGCCGACCTGTCCAATAGTCTTATGGAGGAATAAGAGCGAATACCTGCAGTCAGGCTCCAGAAACCTATTGAAAGCTCTCAGAAGAGCAGTTAAAGCTACAGGTTAATGCACATGGTTTTGTAATCACACATTAACACTTGAATATCCTGAGATATATCAGGTTGTAAAGACTATTGGAATGAATCGTTTTCACTGCACATGGTGAATATATCTAACACAAATTTCCTTCAAGTTGTTAAATGATTAGATGAAGATTTCTGCAGATGGTAATTTGATGGATATTAGTCATGTGTGTTTTCTTTCTCATAAACCTTCGACATATTGCCTCTGCTATGATGATAACATCTTCAGATGAGTTTTTATATTGTGGTCTCTCTGTCTCTCCTAAACCAGGTGGAAGAAATCCGGGGTTTTATCGAGTCCCTGGCAGAGAAGGTTGAAGAGGTTAAGAGGAAGCACAGCGCCATCCTCGCCTCACCTAACCCAGATGAGAGTAAGGCTTTTTGACTTTTCTCTTTCTACTTGTTTAAATCTCACAGAGAGAGATAATAAACATGACCTTCCCTTCTCCACAACTACTGTGTTTTAATCATGAGAGGATTTAAGTTTATCAAGAGTAAAAGTGGATTCTTTTGCACTGGTTTTGATACAACATTTTTAACCCATCATCTACTGGCCGTATAGCTCCTCAGTTGCAGTGTAAATGTGAACAGGAATACACTGAAGTTTCTTACGTTACTTAAAGGTCCAGTGTGTAAGATTTAGGTGAAAGGAAACTATTGGCAGAAATTCAATGTAGAAAAATCCCTCATGATGTTTTCAGTAGTTCGTTTCATCTAAATTGTATGAATTGTAGTTTTCTTTACCCCAGAAAAGGCCCTTTATCTTTAAGGGTCCTCTCTACGGAGGCTGCCATGTTTTTTAACTTTGGTCCAGACTGGACAAACTAAACACCTTTTGAGTTTTTATGACAACTGAAGTCTACCACAGGTTCTTTTTCATATTTGGAAGGGGAGGGTGAGGTGAGGGGTGTTCAGCTGCAACATGCAACTTCAACACTAGATATCATAAAATTCTGCACACTGTACCTTTAACTAAACTGTTCTTCTGTTCCTGGAACTGTTTGGCTGAGAAAGACTAAATGTGTCAAGAAACAAAATGAAGGGTGATTGAATGTTTTGATTGTATGCATTGATGTGACTTATGCACTGTAGTGTTGTGTGGTGCTTAAATACCTCCTACTGGAGTAAATACAGAATATATCTTCGTGAAACCAGCTATGGATCTCAGCACAACGGAACACATATGAGTATGTGTTGCTCTCCAACAGCATCAACAATAAGCATTTAAGAGACTTGTTTGTATTTATTTGTTTTTATAATAGTCTGATTAACATGCTAAGAGTTTATAAATAAAGAAAACAACACATAGCATATCCTCACTGATGAAAACATTTTGTTTGGATACATAATGTTGCCCAGAGGATATAAAACAAAATCTGGAGTTTTATTAAAATATATATACGATATTTTCCCTGTCATTCAAATTGTACCATTAGATTTAATTAATGTAAGTAAGAATATCGCTGTAGTCACTGGTAGAATTGTTAATCCATGATCGTATTATTCTTGTGGAATAGTTATGACTTGAATTTATTCTGCCATAGCCATAAGATGTATTTCTTTTTCCCTATTCATATAATAGTTTGCATCGTTAGGGTGGACGCCCCCTTTCCAGGCTGTATTTATTTCGGGTAAAGAGTTAATCAACCATTCCAGGGCGCTTTTAAGAGGAGGTCACATTGTCCAAACCAAGCTTGACCCACCTGCACACACCTCCTCTAACCCTCCTCAATGATAACATGAATGTTTTATTCTGCGCTGACTCAGTAATGAGCCGGAGAAGCTCTTATTGGAAAGAAGACAAGAGAATAAAGCCAAAAGTCTTATTTATATGCTGTGTAATGTGCAACAGTAGCAAAAAGCCTGCTAATCGTGGCAGATTCCACTCAGCAAAAGAATGAAAAATGACTCTGTCCCTTAGAGTAAATGGTGGAAACAAATAAGTTGAGTTTCTCAGGAAAAAGCCAAAAAGCAGAGCCGTACCCTCCACCAATCAGTCCTTTCTGTCCTTTTTCAAGCTTTTATATACGCTCACTGTGAAATGTCTTGCATTCTTGTTACTTTTCTCCATTTTTCTACTTCCTCTCCATTTCTCTTGAGCCATCTTTACCTCTTAAACCTGCCGTTAAAAACATCGGCTGTGTTTATCAGTTCCTCCATTATCCCTCCTCCCATTTCAACCACTCTCCTCTTTGATTTTGTTCAATCTGTGCACAACAATCCATCTGTCCCAACCCCCTCATCTGTGTCCTCTCACACCTCTTTCTCTCTCACTTGTGTCAGGGAATTGATCTAGACCCCCACTCTCACGAGGGAGATGTTACTCATACAAGTAACACCCTCCAATCCCCTTTCCTCGCCCTGATTCCCAACCTCCCACTTATCTGAGAAAGCATCGATCTGTGTGCAGCAGCGGGTGTCAGATGAGCCCTTTAAGTAGCAGCCGGAGTATGTGAAACTGAGAGGAGCAGCATTGAGGCTAGGTGCTGTGTTTAAGATACAAATTCTTCCACAAGTCATTTCCGTGGTGACTGAAATTGATACTCTGTGTGTGTGTGTTTGTGTGCGTGTGCGTGCGTGCACACCTCCATGTTAAATGCACATGAGTCTGCAGCTGATGCAGATGTCAGGGAGGTCAGTCTTTTCTTCACTGTCTGCCTGTTGCATTGCATTGTGGAGCTGATGAACTCCAATCATCTGAATGTCCTCATTCAGACAGCTGCAGACAGTAATATTAAAGGTGTCTGCAGACAGTGACTCTCATTGCTTTTTGTCACAATATTCACAAATTTTAAGGGTGTTGTTAGGGCAACTCCAAGCCCTCTGGTGAGATAAGGAAGAATCCATGGTCATTAAATACTTAATGATACAAAGTTTATTTGTATATCCTTTTTCGCCATGCTATAGAGAAACATAGCTGGCTACGTCTAACAGCAAGTCCGAGATTTCCCAACAACTATTGGATGGATTGCCATGACATTGGTACACACATTCATGTTTTCCCTCAGGAGGAATTGTGATAACTTGATCCTCAGACCTGTTCTCTAATCCTTCTCCTTTCATAGATAGATGTTTGGTAGGATAAGTAGTATTGATAATGGATGAATGATAGTCCATCCGTCTGTCTGGCCTTCCCATTCTTGTGAACACGATATCTGAAGAACGCCCTGAGGGAATTTCTTCAAATTTGTTTTAAACCTTCATGGGGAGATCACTGTGACATCGCAAAATGCTTTTTCATCTTGTAAAAGAATAATCTCAGATTGCCTCCAGAAAATCCCTTCAATTTTGGTACAAATATTTACATAGACCTATAGATTAACTGATTAGATTTTGGTGGTAATAGGTCACGAAAAACCTCATAAAGAAAATGTTTTTCCCAGTGAACGCAATATTTCAGGAGCACCTAGAGTTCTTTCAAAATAGGTACAATTGGACTCATTGATAAAGTGAATAGATTTAAGTGGTCAAAAGTGGTATTTTCCTCACAGTAAATTCTCCACTGTTCTCCCTTTTTCTAAAAATGTCAGGGATGTTATTCAAAATGGGCGAGGTTGGGCTGGAACAGGATAATAGAGAAGTGGAGGGAATCACACACATGTAATAGTTTTTTTTAAAGGTCTTCCACAGTGGAACATTGTCCACTGATAAACCTTCTGTTTCTGTCACGGTTTATCATGTTCATTATCACATCACATCTCCCTTGCCATTACCCACCTGGCCTGCGTCACAACCTCCCCCCTCTTTCTCCTCCTCCTCTCCCCCCTTTTGCTGTGGGAGCTTTTGTGTTCGCTGACTGAGACGTTTCCTGTTGATCTCCACTGGGTTAATTCTAGCCCACTGGCAGAGCCCATATTCCCGTACGTACACACACACACATACTGACACATTACTTTCACCCATGCATTACACTTTATCCCGTATCACCCCCCCCCCCCCAAATGAAGCCTATCAAATTTCCTCCAGGGAATCGCAGCATACAGTGATCGGTGGGTGTTAAGGGTTTGTGTGTTTGTGTGGGCACACTCCACAGCAGTGTACAGTATGCAGCGAAAGTAATGATGATAGATTAGGTAATAGCCATCAGATCATAATGGGTATTGAACTTGTGTTTCCCCATTAGCACATTCCTTTGATGCAGGAGAGGAAGACACAAATGCATTTTAAATTTAGAAAACAAGATTGAATCCACATTTTCCAAATAATTGCATTATTAGTTTTAGTTTGTAATGTTGTCTGTTTGCCTCGCGCAGTGTGGCTTCTTATTATTTTGATTGATAAGGCTGTTCTTAGATTTCATAATGAAAGGCCAAAAGTCAGTGATGATTGCATCCTCTGCAGGAATATCAATGGCTTTTAGACAGTTTCTCCCAGGAGAGAGTGAGGCTGCTATGAAATGAAACCTGGACTTTGGAGAGTAGGCGGCATAAAGACCTTTTTTAATCAACATTATATATATAGGAAGGTAAGACTTTGTGAGAATGGAATAATGATGTTTTTGTAGATATTTTCCCATGTTAAATTTGTCACATTGTTTATTACCTCTGCCATACAATACAATTTTTTTATCTCTTCCTTTCACATTTTGATAGGAATTTTTATGACAATTTTACTTTTTTCCCTGGCAATAATTCACGAAGGAAATCAGGCACATTTAGGGGACTGATCTATGAGTGTGTGTAATTTGGTACAGCTTGACTGAATTCAAGGGCCATGGTGGATGTTGGCGCTGTACTGCGTGCCATTCTAGTTTGTCAATTCTGCCAACACTTCTAGTTCCTTTTGTTTCCCACAATGAATGATTCATTGTTACGGATAGTATATAGTGAATTTACACACCAGTTCTGTTTTGTAGTCTGATAACTACTGCTTATCTACAGCTACTGATTACTGATCATCATGTTCTGGAGAAAAGTGGGTTTTGTAGTGTTGCATCATGTTGAGCTGTGGAAATGCCTCCAGTCCAGTTTGTCCCAGAGGACGACATAAAGTCACCACAGTGATGTGTTTACTGTTTTGATCTTCCAGTTAAGCTTTTGTTGAACATATCTGCTGGACATCTTGACGTTCTTGAAGTGACAGGTGATCTTGATTTGCTGACTTAACATATATTTTAACTTTAACACACATGATTGCAGTACCATGTGTTCACTGGCTTTCCTACGTTTTTTCCTTCTTTTGTAATATGAGTAATGTCTTCTTCACTCATGTGGTTTTGGCACCTTTGTGTGTATGACACAGTGCCACCACAATCCAAGACACACAATGTCGCAGCAGCTGTGATCCTGGATCTGTACCAGGACTGCACAAACCCAGAAAATTCACTGTTGTATGGATTAAATATGATATGTTAATTTGTGGGTTATATCTT